CTTGCCCCCCCCCAGCCTGTGAATTAAAACAATGAAGCCCCCTCACCTGCTTGTCTTTCTGCAGGGAGGAGGCAAGCAGGCAGATCCCTTCTGATCTAGTGTGATTAGTAAGGTCTGCTGCAGACATTACTAATCACTTCGTTTTCGACCCGGAGCTCAGTGAAGAGCTGGGGCTGAGAACGGAGAGCCCGCAGTAGCAGCTGCTCCCACGAGTCAGGTACGTGGTGTGTGACCGCAAGCCTGACTGAATTTCCACTCGCCTGCACTGCATTTTCACTCGCCAAATGCGAGCAGGCGAGTGGAAATTTTGAGCCCTGATATAGGGAAAACAGGTTTTTTTTTTACATTTTCGGTACCTTTTCATTATATAGTAAAAAATAAAACCCCCAGTGGTGATTAAATACCACCAAAAAAAGCTCTATGTGTCCCCAAAAAATTATATAAAATGTATTTCAGTACAGCGTTGCATGACGGAATAAATGTCAAAGTACCTCAGTGCTGAATACTGAAAAATGGCCTGGCCAGGAAGGGGGTTTAACACCCCGGTCAGCAAGTGGTTAAGACACTTCCTTATAAAACCACAACATACACACTCTTTTTGCAACCCTAGGTGTCAAGTGTCTCAGGTGTCGTTATATTAGTTAAAGACACAGGGTATAAAAATGTCCTCATAGCAGCTTTCCACTAGGTACAAAACATCAGTGTAACAAATTTTTGCTTGCAATGGTTGAGTAGTGTAAGAACACTCAGGAAAAGGTTGTTCCCTCCTTCATATCTCATTCACTGCGTCTGCACAAAAAATGAGACGTCATAAAAGTCAGGAAAAAATATGGCAGTTTTTGAACAGTATGATCTCTTTTCCTTAAAGGTCTGCCAACAATCTGCCTTAGAATCGTCAGTCAGTGGGTGAACAGTCACAGAGTTGGTGCTGGAACATTTGCTCGGCTGGGTTAGTCCATGCGGGGTATACTGGAACTGGTCAGTAAAGGAAAATTGTTTTAAGAAATCTATGTACTCAATGCTTTTTAAGATTTCTAATATATAGAATCAAAGTGAAGATGATGAGGAACAGGTTTTGTGGTGATAGTTAAGGCATATTACATCAAAGAGGTTTACACTACGCTTGAGTATGCTGCGCTATAAAATGACATTAGGCCATTCAGGAGTCTCAATGTTCAGTTCTCACCTGACAATATAACAAATCAATAGCAGCTGTACAGCCCATTAACATGACATCAGTAGAGGGATCCATATACCTGGGAGACAAAGAGAGAATTACTGCAATAAGATGAAATGTCAAACACTTTTGGTGCATGTATTACCATACATCGCTTTGTCAAACCTCTGTGCAGACATTTAGGGCCTGTCAGGCTGTGGGCTTGTGTTGATGAGCAAGTGCGGCTTGCTTTTTGGCCTATTCCAATATGGCGGATCCCATAAATTCAGAATGTTCCAGAGAGGAACAAATAACTTGGCTTTGTGGGTTGGCTAGTTCCTCACCTGATCTGCATCTTTTCATACCCATTCTGGCTATCTTTCTCTTATTCCACCACTCCAATCATTCTCCTTTACTCACTACTTCTTCATTCCACCCACACACACCCTTTCTCTAGGTTTTGCTTTCCCTGCCTATCTTCCCTTAACCCCAACACTGACCCATCCTCCTTTCCTCCTCACCCAATTTTATTTCTCCCCCTGTTTTTCTTTCTTTTCTCCCCCAACAATGTTCTTCTACCCCTCTTATCAATTTTTCTATTCTTGTCTAGCTATCTTGCCCGCCCTCCACCCCCATGTGAATGTGTGAAGCTTGAAGAGAAGCTGTTCAGGTACATAAACAC